GTTCCTCCACAGACAAGTTCACCCTGCACAGACATTGATGAGAAAAGATTGCAGAATGCCGCAAGATAGACATGGCGGACAAAATTCACAAGCTACAAGGTTTTATCATCATGAAAAAATCCTACAGACCTTGCAGGGTTTGCGTATTGAGATATCTCGCGTATTACAAGTGATAACACGAACGACAAAATTCCGCAGGCTGTGCAAAGTGAAGCTGCGAGATATATCGCATGAACGCATGTAAAAGTCCCCGCATGGTGTGCCTAGAGAAGAATCCTCCAGGATCCTGCAGAAAAGAAACTTGAAAAGTGAGCGTGTTAAAGAATCCTGCTCAATTATACTCACCAACTTGCAGGAAAATTTTCGGCGTGGTAACGTGATGTAAAAAGTTGCAGTATATATCCAACATTCACAGAATTTTTTCAGATTCCTGCGTGTCAACGCAGGAATTTGTAAATTTTTTTTCAGTGGGTGGGCAAAACGCGGTGTTGTTCAATGTTTATTTTTTTTCCCTACGGTGAAGAACAAATTCAAAAATGTACACATATAACTTTATTCTAAATTTCATGGCGAATCTTATGGCGAAAGAATCAGGTCGCTAGCTCACAATCCTAAGGACTTGATGTTTTTGCGAGATCGATGAGTCGAACTTCGAGTTCCGCCGGTTGAACCTCTTGATATGTTTTTTTAGTTTCTGCTGAAAAACTTTAAAACACAGTTTTCTAGATTTACTTTTCGATGTAGAATATAAAAATATCAGTTAAAAAAAGTTAAAATGCAATCTGAAATGGCGACAGCACAATTTCTGAAAAGATGCGCTTTTTCGAGTTTTTGACCCGAGCTCAGTATTTCGGGTCTTTCTCCCTGAAGATGATATTTTTTTTAACTCGGACGGCGATATTCGTGATCAGCACACTTTGCTCTGTCAGAATATATCTATTTGAATTAAAAATAAAAATGCGTGGTAACTTTGAATTAGGCGCGCCTTACTTTATTGTGTAAACTATGGAAACAAATAACACGAACAAACAAGTAAACGATCTAATTTTTAATCAACAAGATGAACTAATGAACGATGTATCGATTTTCAATGGTCAAAACGATGACCAAACAAACAAAAAAGTGAAGAAAAGGCGTGGTAATCGACAATTACAACGTTATCGTCGAAAGCTTCGAAAACAAGCTATTGCTTCAGATGCTATTGCTTCCTCGTCCTCTTCTACCATAACAAACGTATCGATCGATAGTGAATCGAAAAACAGTATGGAAATTAAGAATCAAAATATGGAGACAACAACTTCATGTATTATCAGCAAGGCACTCGTTCATGGATCAACAACAATAACAAAAAATAAAATCAATCAACAACAGAAGAAAAATGTAAAAATGAAACTAAACCTCAATGAACCTATAAGTATAAAGGAAGTTAACACATTGGTTGAATTATTGAAAAGTACATCAATAGTTACTGATGATTCAATGAACTATACAAGTGTACATGATGAAATCTTTTATCAAATGTTATCCACATCTTTTGGCGATACAACTAAACTTGATGATTATTTCTTAAATGAAATAGAAAAGATTGAATTCGTTCGATATTATACAGTTTTTATGAGTCGATTATCTTATGCTAAATTACTACAACAACAATGGGATTATTATTATCATATCGATATAACTCAGAATATTTGGACAGGTCGAATATCGAAACGTGTGGCCGAAAAAAATTCTATATGTTATACATATGGTAGATCGAAAAAATCGTTCAACAGCGTCGTGTACAAATTTAAAAACAATTATAAGAGATACATAGTACAATTCAATTATTCGAACAAGAAATACTATTAAAACTGGAACAACATACGGATTGTTTTTCGGAAATCAAATTATTACTTTCAAAAGAAATCACGAGATGAATTCGAATACAAAAGACAAATTTTAACCTTAGATGCAACTGATCATCGTTTAGTTCACGCATTTTTTAATTTTAAACCAAACAAATCACAGGTTAGATGGAATTCCATCATTTTCTCTTTTCATGTCTAGTATTCTAATGAATTCTCATTAATTATTCATGTATATCAGTATTTAATAATGTATCACGAAGTAATTGATACCATAAATATGGTATGGATTCTGTTTCTAAATTACGTACAGATTTATTTTGCATATTAAATAAACTAAAAATGGATAAATG